ACGGACTTTTTAAGATGGTGACGGCACAAGGAATGCCAGCCTTTTGGTGGATATTCTGGGAACGGTGCATGTTAAGATGGGGCTAGAATTGGACATGAGAGCTCCATCAGGGTGAGGAAGGTAATTAATGCAAATTTAGTAAAATATGACAAGAAATCTCACTGAGCTTCATGACAAGAATCCATCCAAGAAGCCCGGCACAACTTGCACCTAGTCAAAAGACAGTAAGATTACTCAGTCACGGAATTCTACAGCACAGTAAAAGGCCCTTCAGCCCACTGAGGCTGAGACAATCAAAAACAACCACCTATCTATTTTAATCCCATCTTCCAGCATTTAGCCCATTACTTTGTATGCCTCTGCATCTCAAGTGCACATCTAAATATTAATTGAATGTCATGAGACTTTCTGCCTCTACTAATCTTACAAGAAGTGAGTTCCAGATTCGCACCCCCTCTGGGTGAAAATGTTTTTCCTCACATCTCCTCGAAACTTTCCGCAGCCTACCTTCAATCTTTGACCCCTCCACCAAGGAGAAAAGATCAACTTGTGGTCTTTGGAGAAGAAGTTTCATTTTAATCATAAGCCAATAACTATGTTTATTAAGAAAAATCATTGGTGGACCTCTTTTTATTTAAAACCTGATATAGATAAGGTACTTAAATGGTAATTTCCGTAACCAGGAAAATTATTCTTATTTTATATTGTGATTCATGGAGTGGTGGGGCAAGAGTGACAGTGCATTCCTCCAGTCTCAGTCATAACACCATGAAGTATTTCATAAAATGTAATCACCACTGTAGTGTCGGAAACGTAGTAGCCAATATACGTTCAGAAAACCTTCACAAACAACTATGTTGCACTGACCACTTAAATTTGTTTATGTGATGTTGGCTGAGAGGTAAATAATAGCCAGCACACAAGGATATATCTCCTTATCTTCTTCACAATAGTGCCATGGAAACTTTTACATTCACCTGAGCAGGCAGATGAGGCCTTGAATTGATGTCATCTCATCTGAAAGACTGCACCTCCAACAATGCAGTTGTCCCCCTTCAACATTTATAGTCAAGCCCTGGAGCAGGTCTTGAACTGCCTTTTGAAGAAGGAAGTTCCAAAGGCTCACAACTTCTATGAGAAATAATTTCTTTTTATCTCAATCTTAAAAGGGCAACTTCTTACTTTGGATCAAGGAACCCGAGCTCTGACTTTTCCTTGAAGATGAAACATTTCCACATCTACCTGAGATCTTATATACTTGAAGCAAATCACCTCTTATAAATATACAAGGCTAAACTGTCCTACTCTTTTCCATAAGACAACTCATCCAGTCCATGTGTTAGTCAGATAAACCTTCTATTAACTGCTTCCAACACAGCTACACCCTTCCTTAAATAAGGAGAGTTGGTTGAGTACTAGCAGCAAATTTAGCAATCATGCCTTTGACTGCTTCATCCAAGTAATTTATCTAAATTATGAAACACAGAGGCCCCACCACTGAAGACACATTTGGGTGCTCAATTCTGGAGTGTGAAGAAATACTGTACATTTTTCTTTCCAAATATAGCTCCAACAACACTCAGGAAGGTTAATATTACCAAGAAAAGTGTATGTAAGGTTTAGGAAGCTAAAACTAGACAGGGCCCATGAGAAATATAAAGAAAGCAGGAAAGAACTCAAGCAGAGAATTAGGAGAGCAAGAAGGGCCATGAAATGACCTGCAAGTAGGGTTAAAGAGAATCCCAAGGCATTCTATACATACATTTAAAATAATAGTATAACTTAGGGAGAAGGTAGGACGACTCAAGGATAAAGAAGGGAACTGGTGTTTGGAGGCAGAGGATATGGGCGAGATCCTAAGTGAGTACTTTGTGACGGTATTCACCCAGGAGAAGGATATGGAGGATAGTGAGATTGTGTGGAGCATGCTAATATGTTATGGCATTTTGAGATCAAGAAATAGGTGGTGTTGACTCTCTTGAAGAGCATTAAGTCCCCACGGCCGGATGGTATCCACCCCAGGTTATTGAGAAAAGCAAGCGAGGAGATTGCTTGGGCCTTGACCAAGATCTTTGTATCCTCACTAGCCACTGGCGAGGTCCTGAAGGACTGACGAGTAGCCAATGTTGTTCCTCTGTTCAAGAAAGAAAATAGGGATAATCCAGGAAATTATAGACCAGTGAATTTCACATTAGTGGTTGGGATACTATTGGAAAGAACTCTTAGAGATCAGACTTATGTGCATTTGCAAAAGCATGGCCTAATTAGGGACAGTCAGCATGGCTTTGTCCAGGGCAGGTCATGTCTTACTAACTTGATTGAATTTTTCAAGAAAGTGACAAAGGTGTTCGATGAGGGTAGAGCAGTGGATATTGTCTACATGGATTTTAGTAAAGCTTTCGACAAGGTCCCTCCTGGTAGGTTCATCCAGAGGATTAAGATACATGGGATCCACGGTGATGTGGCAGCATGGATTCAGAATTGGCTTGCCACAGAAGACAGAGGGTAGTGGTGGAAGGGTATTTTTCTGGCTGGCAGTCCGTGACTAGTGGTGTTCCACAGGGATCCATACAGGGACCTCTGCTTTTGGTGATATATATAAACGCCCTGGGTGAAAATGTAGATGGATGGGTGAGTAAGTTTGCAGAATAATACAAAGATCAGTAGAGTTGTGGATAGTTTAGAAAGTTGTCAAAGGATATAGTGGGACATAGGTCAGTTGCAGATATGAGCGGAGAAATGGCAGTTGGAGTTTCATCCAGGTAAGTGTGAAGTGCTGCACTTTGGGAAATCAAATGTTAAGGAAAAGTATACAGTTAATGGCAGGCCCCTAAGCAGCATTGATGTACAGAGTGATCTTGGGGTTCAAGTCCATCCGTGCAAGCGGCCACGCAAGTAGATAGAGTGGTGGGAGGGTGCAGAAGTGGTTTACTAGGATGCTGCCTGCATGAGAGGGTATGAGCTATAGGGAGAGGCTAGATAAATTTGGGTTGTTTTTTCTGGAGTGGTGGAACTGAGGGGAGACTTGATAGAAGTCTGTAACATTATGAGATGTATAGATAGGGTTGATGGTCAAATCTTTTTTCTGGAGTTGAAATGTCTAATACTAGGGGGCGTACATTTAACGTGAGATGGGGAAAGTTCAAAGGAGATGTGAGGGGTAAGTTTTTTAAACAGAGTGTGGCAGGAGTCTAGAACGTGCTGTCAGGGGTAGTGGTGGAGGCACTTACGATAGGTACGTTTAAGGGGCTTTTAGATAGGTTCATAAATATGTAAGGAATGGAGGGATATGGACTAAGGGCAGATAGAAGGAACTAGTTTAATTTGGTGTCATGTTCGGCACAACACTGTGGGCCAAAGGGACCGTTCCTGTGCTGTACTGTTCTATGTTCTATGTCAATGTAAGGAGAAAACAGGACACTTTATCCACACTCTATCTGCCACCTTAAACATTTACTGTCTGCATCAACTGTATTGTGAAATCAGTGCGTACCATCTGCAAGATTCATTGCATCCATTTGCCAAGTACCCTTCAACAGCGCCTTCCAAATCACTTATACCTGAAGGGACAAGGGTAACAAGTTCATGGGAAAGGCACCATCTGCAGGCTACCCATCAAGTTTCACACCATCTTGATCTAAGAATACATTGCTGTTTCTTCTCTGTCCAGGGCCAAAAAGCCAAATCTCCTTTTCAAAAAGGCCTATAGGTACGCCTACGCCTCGGAGGTTGCATTAGTTCAAGATGACAGCCACCATCATCTTCTCAGGGCACTGAGAGATGGGTAATAAATGGTAGCCTTGCAGTCTCTCTGCCATCCCACAAACAATTATGAGAAAAACCTCCACTAAATTTACTAAGTCACAGACCAACTTGACTCGGGAACATTGTCACTGAACTTCCTTTCCTAACCACCTTAAGGAAATCCTATCACTACAATACTGAAGGAGTTGAAAGAAAAGGCCCCATTACCACTTTAAACTCAGGATTATTGCTAGAACAATCAAAAAAAAGGATCTCACACACATTATTTATCACTGATTGCTTTAACAGAAGTGACAATTAAGGAAGAGAAAACAGAATGCCTTAAAGTAAAATTGGTTAAATTTTACATAAATATGAAAATATATGCCAAACTGCAGAAATACTTCATTTCCAGTTTTGTTACAGTGGAACAAACATTTTCTTTGTGGTTTTAACATTTATGGCAAAACACTATAGCAACACACAAAATAAGTTTGTGTTTTATTCAGACGTCAATAAGTGCCTCCTTTTCTTTTGAATATTTACATTTCTCCGTTGACACTAAATTCCAGGAAATCTAATGACGTCAGCAAGCTAAACTCAATAGGGTGTGAATTTACCATGTAAAACACACAGAAAGGAGGGAAAGTGCAACATCAAATTCTTCATTAAAGCAATGGCTTAGAGATTTACTGCATATCTGATATTTAATTAACTCACAGCACAAGCAAATCATGCTTCTTTAAATTAATTTATACAGTACACACATATATACAAAGTTTAATAAGGTAGCTTGCTTTTCCAGAATGTGTCATTTGTTTAACATGTAAGTTGAAAGTTAACTGGTACAGCAGAAAGCCTTTACAACAAAATGCAAAATACTGCGTGAAATTTAAAACTTGAGCTATCTTCTAGGGAACAAACAACAAATGGAGCTTGATATAATATCAGGCACATTACCTTACATTTGTACCCAATTAGAAGGTTTCCTGTGACATAGGAAAATAATACTACAAAATAGAACAAATTACACTTATTATTTTCACCCATTTATACTAATCTGCAACATAACAAAAAATCAGGAAACTCAATGAGAAATAATTTCAGCTAAATGTTAATTTATCAAAATGCACGTATGCACTGCCAAAACTGAAATCTGAACATGTAAGTTTAACTATTTACTGAAATATTCAAAATTGATAAGTTCCTTTTGTATATATACACAAAATGTTTTGCATCTTTTGCTGTCACTTTACCTGTTTCTGTATCATTCTGTGTCACAGCCATGTCTAACCCTTTGCAGACTGCTTATCTGTCTCCACCCATTCTACACGAAAGGCTCTTAAGCAATATGCTTTTATAGGATTACAATAAGAAACAATGACATCAGAGTGACATCAATGCCTTACAACAACAGATTCCTAACTGGATATTTCCTACACTGCAAATGTCAAAAATAATAATTTGTAAATGTAGGATTTAATAACTTTCATTGTACTTTCATTATTTAATAGCTCTTTTTTAGAAGGCAAAGCATGCCTACAAACTGAAAATTTAGTTTCAATACAATAAACATTAAAGTGACTTTTACTCATACATAATTGTAGTTTTCTAAGCAAAGAAAATGCTTTGAAGAAATCTTGGCTATTACGAAGTAAAGGGATTGTTGGATCAATATTGGTAATTTTCTCTGTTTAGCATTTAACAGTTTTCCAAAATTTTCCACAGATAAGAAAATGATTGCCATTTGCCTCAATATGACAGAAAAATATATTTGTTTAAGGAAAGTCTGATATTTCTACCAACCATAAAATATATCTGTTTGAGCCTTCTTCCTCTCAGAACAGCTCCGGTAATGCTAACTGCAGTTTCATTCCTTTTAGCATGTTCTGACTAAGGACCAGGTTAGAAGTCAATCAAGACTTAAGGAAAATACATACTAGAGTTGTAAAGCATGGAAACAGGCCCCTTGGTCCAACTCATCTGCACCAACTATATATCCTAAATTAATCTAGTCCCATTTGCCAGCATTCGGCCCACATCCCTCTAAACTTTCCTATTCATATACCCATCCAGATGCCTTCTAAATGTTGTAATTACACCAGCTTCCACCACCCCCTGTGGCAGTTCATTTCATACATGCACCACCCTCTGCACAAAAAAGTTGCCCGTTACATCCTTTCTTTATCTTTCCCCTCTCACCTTTCAGTTTTGGATTCCCTTACCCTGGGAAAAAGACCTTGATAATTTACCCTAGTTGGATAAGAATCTTGTGCTCCAAGAACAAGCCGCACCACTAACTAAGCTGTTCCAGTACAGCTACAACACTGGCATCTATGTGGCAATGTAAAAATGCCCAGGTATGTCCTGCCTACTAAAAACAGAACAAATTCAATCCAACCAATTACTGCCCTGTCAGTCATTTCTCAATCTTCGCAGTGATAGAGGGAGTCTTCTATAATGACTCTACTATCAAGTAGCTATCTACTATCCTCTATTATAAGTGACCAGAAGACAAAGGAGCAGATATAGACCCTTTGAGTCTGCTGTCATTCAATGAGATCGTGGCGAATTTCTAATAATCCTCAACTCCTTTCCTGCCTTTTCCTCATAATCCTAAATTCCCAAAATGATTAGAAATCGGTTATTCTCAGCTTTGACTATGCTTAATGACCCAGCTACAACAGCCCTCTATCGTAAAGAATACCACATATTCATCCTTCACAGATGCTGTTTACTGGGTGCCAGTTGTTGCTTTTCTTCATGTATGAGTCAAAGCAAGGAGAGGTGATAGTGTATTTGTTGATGGTAGGAAGTGCAGTCAAGTTTAATTCTGTCCTGACCTGATTTTTCAGCAATGGCCAAAATAAAAAAAAACTTGATGTTAAATTGTGCCTTTCATGACCATACACATTCCCAAGCATTTAGCAGCCAAAAATGCATAAACAATCTGCATATACCAAGTACCCATAAGCAACAATGTAGGAATAACCAAACATTTTTCTAAAATTAGTGATATTGTTTGAAGGAAAGTAATTGGCCTAAGATGCAGTGGGAACTCTCCTGCATTTTGTACAAATAGTGCCATGTGATTTTCTTTCAAAAACATTCCAACAATGCAGCACTCCCTCAGTACTACTCTGGAGAGTCAGCCATGATGTTTGCTCTCCAGTTTTTGGAATGAGATGAGCATTCATAACCTTCTGATTCAAAGGTGAATGTACTAATGAGCTGAGGAATGGCCGACGGAGTTTCATTTAGACAAATGATCAGAGGTATAGATAGAGTGGACAGCCAGAGACTTTTTCTCAGCGTGGAGGTAGCTATTACAAGGGAGCATAGTTTTAAAGTGAGTGGAGGTAGGTATAGGGGAGACGTCAGACATAGGTTCTTTGCTCAGAGAGTGGTAGGGACGCGGAATGCATTGCCGGAGAGGGTAGTGGAGTCGGCCTCATTAGGGGCATTTAAGCAGCTATTAGATAGGCATATGGATGATAGTATAAGGTAGGGGGAGGTTAGATAGACCTTAGGTTTAGGGTAAAAGTTCAGCACAACATCGTGGGCCAAAGGGCCTGTACTGTTCTATGTTCTAAATGTAAGGTACTTCATTTTGAAAAGGTAAATCAGAGCAGGATATTTAATGTTAAAGTCCTGGGGAGTGTTGCTGAACAAAGAGACCTTGGAGTGCACGTTGACAATTCCTTGAAAGTGGAGTCCCAGGTAGATAGGATAGTGAAGGTGTTTGGTATGCTTGCCTTTATTGGTCAGTGCATTGAGTATAGGAATTGGGGGGTCATGTTAACGCTGTACAGGACACTTGTTAGGCCACTTTTGGAATACTGTGTGCAATTCTGGTCTCCCTGCTATAGGAAGGACATTGTAAAACTTGAAAGGGTTCAGGAAAGATTTACAAGGATGTTGCTGGGGTTGGAGGGTTTGAGCCATAGGGAGAAGCTGAATAGGCTGGGGCTACTTTCCCTGGAGTGTCGGAGGCTGATGGGTGACCTTTATAGAGGTTTATAAAATTATGCGGGCATGGATAGGGTAAATAGACAAGGTCTTTTCCCTGGGGTGGGGGAGTCAAAAACTAGAGGGCATAGGTTTAAGGGGACAGGGAAAAGATTTAAAAGGGACCTAAGGGGCAACATTTTCATGCAGAAGATGGTGAACGTATGGAATCCTAGAGTAGGTGATGGCTTAGCGGTATTATTGCTAGACTTTTAATCCAGAAACCCAGCTGATGTTCTGGGGACCAGGGTTCGAATCCAACCACGGCACATGGTGGAACTTGAATTTAAAAAAAAGTCTGGAATCTACTGATCACCATGAAATCATTGCCGATTGTCGGAAAAACCCATCTGGTTCACTAATGTCCTTCAGGGGAGAAAATCTGCCACCCTCACCTGGTCTGGCCTCCATGAGACTCCAGACCCATAGCAATGTGCGTGACTCTCAACTGCCCTGTGAAATAGCCTAGCAAGCCACTCAGTTCTACCAATCGCTACAAAGTCTCAAAGAAATGAAAACGGACGGATCACCTGGCATTGACCTATGGCACCGGAAAAGACAACAGCAGAAACAGCCCTGTCGACCCTGCAAAGTCCTCCTTCACTAACATGTGGGGGTTAGTGCCAAAACTGGGAGAGCTGTCTCACAGTCAAGCAACAGCCTGACACAGTCATACTCATAGAGTCATACCTTACAGACGATGTGCCAGGCACCACAATCACCATCCCTGGATATGTCCTGTCCCACCAGCAGGACAAACCCAGCAGAGGTGGTGGCACAGTGGTAAACAGTCGGGAGGGTGTTGCTCTAGGAGTCCTCAACATTGACTCCGGACCCCATGATGTCTCATGGCTTCAGGTTAAACATGGCTGATTACCACATACCGTTCTTCCTCAGCTGATGAATCTGTACTCCTCCATGCTGAAAACCACTTAGAGGAAGCACTGAGGATGGCACGGGCACAAAATGTACTCTGGGTGGGGGATTTCAACGTCCACTACCAAGAGTGGCTCGGCAGCAGTAATAATGATCGAGCTGGTCTGGTCTTAAAGGATATAGCTGCTAGACTGGGTCTGCAGCAGGTGGTGAGGGAACCAACAATAGGGAAAAACATACTTGACCTCATCCTTATCAATCTGCCAGCTGCAGTTGCATCTGTCCATGACAGTATCGGTAAAAGTGACCATCGTACAGTCCTTGTGGAGACAAAGACCTGCCTTCACATTGAGAACAGCCTCCGTCGTGTTGTGTGGCACCATCACTGTGCTAAATGGGACAGACTTCGCACAGATCTAGCAACTCAAGACTGGGCATCCATGAGGTGCTGTGGGCCATCAATTGTACTCATGGCCCAGCATATCACCCACTCAAACATTACCATCAAGCCAAGGGATCAACCCTGGTGCAATGGAAAGTGCAGGAGGGCATGCCAGGAGCAGCACCAGGCATACCTGAAGATGAGGTATCAACCTGGTGAAGCCACCAAACAGGCCTACTTAAACGCCAAACAGCACAAGTAGCAAGTGATAGACAGAGCTAAGCGATCCCACAACCAATGGATCAGATCTAAGCTCTATAGTCCTGCCACATCCAGTCGTGAATGATGGTGGACAATTAAACAATTCACTGGAGGAGGAGGCTCACAAGTATCCCCATCCTCAATGATGGAAGAGCCCAGCACATCAGTGCAAAAGATAAGGTTAAAGCATTTGCAGCAATCTGCAGCCAGAAGTGCTGAGTGGATGATCCATCTCGGCCTCCTCCAGTGATCCCCAGCATTACAGATACCAGTCTTCAGCCAATTCAACTCACTCCATGTGATATCAAGAAATGGTTGGTGACACTGGATACTGCAAAGGCTACGGGTCCTGACAACATTTCAGCAATAGTACTGAAGACTTGTGCTCCAGAAATTGCCGCTCCCCTAGCCAAGCTGTTCCAGTACAGTTACAATACTGGTATCTACTCGACAATGTGGAAAATTGCCCAAGTATGTCCAATCCAACCTGGCCAATTACCGCCCCATTAGTCTGCTCTCGATCATCAGTAAAGTAATGGAAGGTGTCATCAACAGTGACATCAAGCAGCACCTGCTCAGTGACGCCCAGTTTGGGTTCTGCCAGGGCCACTCAGCTCCTGATCTCATTACAGTCTTGGTTCAAACATGGACAAAACAGCTGAATTCCAGAGGTGAGGTGAGAGTGACAGCCCTTGATATCAAGGCAGCATCAAGGAGACCTAGCAAAACTGGAATCAATGGGTATCAGGGGCAAATTCTCCGGTGGTTGGAGTTATACCTGACATATAGGAAGATGGTTGTGGTTGTGGGAGG